GTGTAGGCGATCATGCGACTGCGCGAGTCATCGCGCGCTCCGAGGCGCCGTTAGTTATGACCGATACGCAGTTGTTCAGTGTTGCGCCAACAGCCGCGCGGTGAACGTGCGTGTAGGATGTCGTTCGTCTCGACGATGCGGCGAGCGTTGCTCTTTATCAGTTAACCGAATGAGCCAAACCGACGCGGTTCGACGAAACGTCGCTGTCACACGTGTCAGGGAGGTTCCTCGTTAAGACATTCGGATCTCGCTGCGAACTCGTAATTTTCGGGGACCGATTGTACCCTTCGGGATCGAACCTTTTCATCCCTCTTTCGCGCTCCCTCGGACGGCTCGCACGGTGCAAAGACACAGTTGAAGAGTGGTGGAAATTTTTCTGTAACATGTGCGACCTAGAAAAACTACTGACCGGCACGAAGAGCTGGAGTGATTAGATAAAACTGGCAGGGAAGCCGGAACACGGTGATACATGAAATTCCCTGAACTCCGACAGGAAATCTGAGGTTTCATTGATACGCACACTGGCGCCCATTGTGCTATGCTTTCCATTTGCACGCCGCGGATAGAACCATAGGTGTACACGGACTACATACGCGTATATATAGCGCGCGTTACGCGGCACGATGTGTTCTTAACTGTTTGATGGGTTTCCTCGAGCGAGAATAAGTCGAGGACGAGAGAATTGCGAGCTTCGTTCCTGTGTGATGAAGTAAGTACCTCGAGACGAGTTAATTCATCCAACGACAGTTACGTCCACTTTCTCGTTTTTTCTCCGACCCAGGCGGATCGGGAACCGGTATCACGGATCGTTCGTGCCGAATACGTGCCACCATGGCGACAATAGGCTTATGCGAATGAAAGACTATACTCTACTTTTACGGAACGACACATTGAACTGGTTGCTCGAACGGATAGAGCTAACGAGAATTTATGGCCCGCGAAGATTAGTCCATTAGACGATTCTCGACTGTCAAACGATACTAGTCCCGTGCCATGTCCAACGTCCGCCATGTTTGCGCAAACTGTGCGTCGGGGTAATTACAACGGGCCCTAGTATTCGTCGATTCATAAACAGCGTGAGTCCAGGCCTGGGTGTATCGGAAAACAAAGCGTTATCGACCGCAAATTCCGTGAGTTTCGCAGATAATCGATAAGATTTCGCGTCAACAACGACGACGAACAATGCACGGAACCTTGTTTGTTCCACGGCCGAGACAAAGATGTTTTGAAAGTTAGCCCGTGCCTGTATCTCCCGCGTGAACAAATATTTTCGTCCGATAGCCGTGACGTAGCGGTAGCTCGTATTCGCGGAATACCTCGTTCCCAAGGCAGATAATCGCGTCGTGCCTCTCTTCGTTTCGATGGTCTAGCCTGCGCCTATGTAGGCCTGGTCTTTAGGTCCATTTTCCTGCCGGGAAAGTATCGTACGACCCGGTAGCGCGAATTCTCGCGAATTCTTGCGAATTCTTGCGAATTCTTGGGAAAAGAAAGTCGGAGAAAGGAAGAGAGACGTGAGAACGTATGGCTAAGTAGATAAGGATCGTACGACGTAGGTTTGTACGCGTAGGGAGGAGAAAATAGAAAAACACGGTGAATTAATTGATGGTTATACTTTCACGTTGGGATTAGGCCGCGCTAACCGTAAAAATGAGCCGGAACCATGACGTTGGTTCACGGGTGCCTAGTCGGGAATGCGGACTCGTCGTGTCGAGAATAAAATTCGATAGTCCAGAGAATCGGTTACTTTTCCTTGCCTCTATCAGTCTCACGGCCTTGCGACGACTATCCCCTCTACTCGAGCGTTCCTCGGCCGTCTCTCTACTCGAATTGGCCGACCTTGCCTACGATAGTCATTGTCACGGTGCTCTGCTAGATACGTGTAAACCGCGGCAGCGCAGTGAATGATTTGCAAAAAACTTGTTTGCTCGCGAGCCAACTAGTCATGTTGCTCGTGGCGTCGTCTCGTTCGCGATTTTCATGGAAATGAAAATCGAGACCTGTCGTTGACACCGCGGTCAAGTCTATCGTTCGGTCAGGTGACACCTGTCTTTTGTCGCGATTAATCTTGTCCATTTGTTCAGGATTCTGTGAATCGTTTCCACGTTTTCCTCGATATAGGGAAAGGTTGGTCGTCGTTTCTCGGTTGGTCGACCAGCTCGACCAATGTCGCAAATACTGGTTAGGTAAGGTTTAACGATATTTAACGCGATGGTTATATAACTAGCCTCGTATATTTACAAACAACTCGTGCAAGAGTACAAGAGTCCGTGTCACGAACGTGGCTCTTATGGGATCTGACCGTGTTCTCCATCGCGGCTATTCGGAATGGTATTGTTGTCGAGGATCGGGTTCATCGTAATCGGAACGTGCGAGAGTTCCCTGGAATCTCTTTGTGCAAGATCAGCGCGAATAATTCCCTAGTCGGCAGTTAATCTCGATGTTCCACTAGTTTCGCTAGCTGTGTAATATCAGCGTGTTTTGAAGTCGCTACCGTGGGGTGTTGCAACGCGGGGAATTTTCGCAGATTACGATATCAGCGGGTTCTCGGATTCGTAGTGAATCATTTTTCGAAAGAACGTAGTTCCGACGATCCTAACCGCGAGAAATCGTAATTTTCCCTATTACCAGGCGCCACGTGGAAAGTGGTGGCTGCCGATTTCGCGAAAGAAAAATTTCCATATCTTCCTGGTAAGTCTGCTTTCAGGAAAACCGATTTGCATTGGCTAATTGCGGAGAGAATGACGTACAACCGTTCGAGGATCTCAAGCTTACGACAGTGTGAACCGTGATATTTCTACACGAATACCGCTACGGACGCTACAATTGGATCGTGTGATTTAGTTTTCCAAGTGCGAGGAGTCAGGGTCTCGGTGGCATGGTCGCATCGCGAAGATAAAATCGAATGTGGGTCGCAAGACGGAGTGGAGCCTCCAGCGAGTGTGAAAAGGCAAACAAAAGCTTGCACGTTCCATGTGCCAGCATCCGTTTGTTTATCCCTTTGCGAAAATTCCCCTGGAACAGGAAACTTGCCGCTTTATTTATTAGAATGTTCCATCAGTCGAATGGCACTTACGTCACGGTTGGATTTTCCAAAGAGCTCCTTGTTTATACGCGCATTTGCATAGATCCCTCGATCCACGACGCCTTGTCATCCGTTATCTCGCTCGTTACGCGATCGCCTAAGTGACGTCCCACGCGATCGATTCGAAAATCACGCGAATTCCCGCGCTCCGAGCTACGCAATCGATGTACCTATACCGAGACATGTCTGTGTTCCACGCTTTCGTTCAGAGCGTAGAAGGTTCGTTACTATTCTCGTGTGCGGCTCGAGATGACGGCTTTCTCGAGCGAGATACCCACCGTGTCCTCCTTCGCAGCGTTCAGTGACTCACCGGCCGATGACGATGACGCTAACTATGACGGAGCTATTTTTTGACGAGCAGACCTCTGCCTGCCAGGAAGCGCGAGAGCGACAGAGAGGTGTTCCGTGGCCGGAAATGAATCGGGCGTGCCGTAAAGCCTCGTAGGCGCCAAGGCAATACACGTCTCGCGATTCGATTTTATCGAGTGCTGCCTTTTTATCGAGACCAAAAACAGTCGTTGGAAGAGAAGGATGGCTGGATGTCGTGGGTGGCGTACACGAGTATTCCTTCTTCGTGCGTCATCCGGAATACTTGCTGCTCAAACTCGAGAGGAATCGCTGAAAAACAGATGACGTTTCACCGGAAACGCGTAACGGATTGTGCAACTCGCGAATTTGTTCCACGCTTTCACTGATTCGAGAACGTTTTCAGAGTCACTGTTGGAATGTACACGGTGACGCGTTTCGAACGACCGGCTAACTACGTAGTTCAGGTTTCGTTGATTCTCCGTTACGCTCGAGCAACGATAGAAGAGAAATTTATGAAGCGGCTGTTATGGTTTGCTAGTTCGCACACACCGTGTACAGAGCATCGTAGGTACGCGCAATGTTTATCTGGCTTGGCAAATAGAGCGGAAAGAAAGTGCAAGTCATTTTCCCTAGATCGTTTCCGGAGAAGCGAGTTTCTAGAGTCGAAATAACGGAGTCGAGAAATCTCGACAGGGTATGTAAAGAGTGTGACGTGATTGTGATAGCGAACGAATTGCTCCCGATCGAAAGTAGATCACGGTGGCTGATGAAACTAGTGGAAAGGCACGCGGCATGATCAGACACCGGCTGTCTGTAGACGAACGACTCTATCTCCTGGTAATTTCCATCTATTTTCTCGGCTCGTTCTACGAAATTCTGACTCGAATTTGCAAGTAGCAAATCTCTAAAAATCTTCCAATTCTTCGCATGGTATTCGTATAACAGCCATTATAAATTACTTGCCAAGGAATACCAACAGCGTTAAACGTCCCATCAGATTTTACGATTCACGCAAACACATTTTCGAAAAGGACTCATCAATTCTGAATATCGTAAATACGTATCTCTCGCAAACACGCGAACACTCTAGGAGCCTGTGTATACGCGTTTCGTAGCTACAGGATTAATCCATCAGAGGTCAATGACCTGTACCCGACACAAGCAACCACGCACGTGTGCGTGTGCGTCTCGAAAAATCGAATGAAAAGAATAATAAAATATTCAGCGACGCAATATAAAATTAGTCTGGAAGTTGGTCTGGGTAGGCAATCGAGCCAATGACTTAGGGAAATTTATTTTGTAACGTCACGATAATTGGTCGTCGGCCACGCATTAAACGCCGCGATTAGATTACTCTACGCTTAAGCGACGAATCTTGCAATGATCGGACGGTAGTTTGCATCATGTTAGAAAACTGCGATCGCGAGCGATTTCTTTCAAAGCCTAAACTCGAAGAGCAGCATCGTGACCATTGATGACGCAGCGCGGATCAGCTGCTGCTCACGTAGTTTCTAGACGAAAGTGCAAGCTGCGTCTCGATGGTGCAACCGACTGCCCGCGTTGCAGGTCGTAGATCCGATTTATATATATACATATACACGAGGTCGGTTCTGTAGTGGATCGCCGACGAGTGTACGAGAGAGACTCGCGTGTCAGGGACAGCGCGCACGTTTTCTCTGGCTGATTACGACGCCGAAGAAGCGTACTTTTTATAGCCACGCGTCGTTACTATAGTTGGCGCGGACGTTGCTTAGAATTGTTCATTAACGTGACGGCCGTTGGGCGCGAAACGATGATCGTTAAATTGCTACCGACAACCGCAATTATTGTCCCGACTGACGCCGCGGTTTTGCGGTTCATTACCAGGGAACCTCACGGAACCATTCATCGGGAAGGACCGAATCAGGGATGCTGACGCGAATCCTCGCGATTCTATCGTAAATTCCGAGTTGGACGAGCAAGGTAGAGATCTTATGGTTTCTTGTACCCTTCGAGACCCGATCGTCAAAGATTTAACCTCTTTGCGAACGGTAGCTGGAAAATGGCGAAATGGCCGAAAGTCCTTCGGTGTTACGCCCAATATCTTGAAACATATCGTTTCTTACAAGAAAAAACAGATTTCACCGATGTAAAATGTAGTTTATAATTCTTGCAACGTTATCTTGTAGCGTATATCTGTTTTTCGACAAAAATGGTTCCGTTCGCAAAAGTTCACTCTTTGAGATTCAAGTCGCATTCGATTGGGACTTTATCTCAACTGGTTCATAGTCAAGAACCTATTGGGAAATGCTACTTAACATTTGATTTTACTTTCATAT